TGTGATGGTTATTTTAGCTTTCTCTTTTTTTTTTTTTTTCAGTAAAGGATTTAGGATACCTGCACTGACTTAAGGCCTAGCTGGTTATTTTGTGTTTTAATTTTCTGCCTATCTAAACATTAAGTACAGTTGAAGTTTTCTTAAGTTTTCTGTGTTTAATGTCAAACATTAAAAACTTAGACACACAATCTCCTTGCTGTGACCATCTAATGCCAGGTCAGGGTTTGTCATCTGCAAAGAAAGGGAATGCCTCTGTTGGCCTTTCATAAACATTTCATTTCCATGATTTTTTTCTTTTGTGGGTTTTTTTCTTTTTCTTTTTTTCCTGTTTTTTTTACATGCTTATAATCAAGAATATTTAGATCTGACTGTAGCTGCTAACAGCACTGTCAGCCTCATTACATATAGTTTGTGAGACGACAAGTCAACAATAAATATCCATTGCTACATGCTTGCATTCCCCATACAGGATTTTCTCAATCAAGCAAAGTGACCTACAGTCATACCTAATATCTTCAGCCTGAATCATGGCCTTATGGCTCTTCGATACTGAGTGAAACTGTAAGTGAAAAATAAGCTCATATTATTAGGCAATGCCTTGCTCACATGCTTAAATTCACATTTTCTAAGTGACTACATTAAAACCAAGGTAGACCTTAACATTAAGATTTAAAACGCTACTTATTAAACTGAGAAAAGCACCTCCCATTCTGCTGGAAACTCCAAGTCACAGGGAGGCCACAAAATCAGAAATGCCAAGGGGAAAGTAGGATCCCTGTCCATCTCGTCCAGCTCCCTTACTTCTGATTTCTTCATAGACCTTTTCCCTCCACACAAGCATTCTAGTCCACATTCTAGAGTTTTGGGGGATCACCCTCTTAGAACACATTTATTTTTAAGAAGGATAGAGTTTGAAAATACAGTTCTTCAAAACAGAGGCAGATACTGCACAAAGGCAATAGATAAAAATGATTTAAAACCTGGCTCCAGTCCATCCTCAGCAAACAGAGTTAGAATTTCAATAAGAATTAGAGTGGCTCCAGTAAAAATTTGAGGTTTTGTGTTATTTGTAAAATGAGATGCCCGTTATCCTTGGCCCTGTCATTAACAAAAGTCCAAGCAAAAATCAGTTCTCTTTTCCATCTCATTGTGGGAACAGGGGAGAAAACTTTCTGCATGGTTCATTATGTCTGACTGCAATTAACAGCAACACCTTCAGGAATTTCAAACAGCTCTGAGATGTCTGAGTACTTGCACAACAACCTGTGCCAAAGGAGACAAGCTGTGTTGCAAGGCCACTGGCCACTGAGCAGGGTCAAGATCTGGCTGAGCAGATCAGCCACCTTCTTATCAAAAGTGCTGGGCAGAGTGTCAGGTAATCATGAAAAGCAGTAGGCCATCACTCTCTGCCCCTATATTTTTTGCAACAGTTTTTCAAGTCACTCCATCTTTTCCCTGCAAGCCAAAGCCAGATGTAACACTGTTTTTACTGCCATGGAGAATAATAAAAGAGACTCCATTAGTCTTTAATTTAAGGTTTACGACACAGAAAATTTTAATGGGAGTTAAATTAACTATTGACATTTATCACAATAATTTGTTCTGCAGCCTCTGACCTGCAAGACAATAGCAGGATAATAAAGGCTTCATGGTATGACCGAACAGGGAGAAGAAATCGTCAGTTATCAGATATAAGTGAGCAGCCTGTCAAATGTGAGACCTTCTTGTTTTGCAGACAGAGGAAATCCAGTAGTGACTATTTTATCTTTGATATATACTCTCATACATGCAGTCACATCAATTTTCACACCCATTCATTTCACAAGTCTATACAAAATTAGGTCCTGAAAAGTCTTTTTAGAGGTAGAAAGCTAAATTGCTACTGACCATCATGGGATACAAAACAGCCAGCATGACATCCTCACGAGAAAAATGCTTTGAAAACTTAAAAGAGGATTTAAATATGCAAGATCAGCTTCAAAAATACTTCTGATATAAACCAACTATGTTTTAAAAAGTTTTAGACAGGGTAATATAAAGGATACCTGAGACAATAAGGGACAGAATCTTTTTTATTTAACTGTTTGTTCCAAGAACACTGCAAAAAAAACTGGAATATGGTGGATTTCCTTTCAAAATAATTTAAATATTTCAAATAATTTTTAACACCAGCTATTACTAACACATTACAGGTAGATCTATATTCCTCCAGTGTAATTTCACCGGATTTTACATCATGGGTAGGTAAATGTAGGGGGTTTTTATATGAATAAAAGCATAATACTACAGCATATACCTGCTAAAAGCCTTCATTCTGGAATTCTCTAATTAAAATGTTGGTATCATATCAACATGACAGAACTTGTGTAGCCCAGGAGCAAAAATATTCTAATAAATATTCTCCTCCTACCTTACAACCCCTGAGGCTTTGCATCCTTGCAGGAAGCCTCAACTATTAGCATGACTCTACACAGGTCTTTATGCCCAGATCCTTGCCTAAAACTGTTCTGTAAAAGTATGGCCCAATTGAAGCTATTAGTGCAAGCTGGCTTTAACATCACAGGGCAGGATAAGTATGGTATGTTAAGACAAGCATTAGCTGACTTTTTCACAATAACATTTTCCTAAACAATGGAAGCTAAACAGACAGATGTTAGCATTAAATACTGTGTTTAGGCACCAAGTGGTATTTATTTAAATATATTTTTTCCTAATTATACAATCATGTGGAGAGGGCAGAATGATGAAGCCAATCACAAAGGCCTTAATTGGACCAAATTCTACTGAATTTAAGAGAATTTCTTCCTTTTTAAGAACTCAAGGCTCAGATATTTCATCCTGCACCCAGCAGTTGATCATTATTTTTCCCTTGAAGCCTGATTAATTGCTCATATAATGTAACTTTTTTCCTGGCTTGTGTAACTGAACTCCTTTTCTTGTGTGTCTCGTCATTTTTTATTACCTAAATAAGCTATTGGCAACAGCGTCCTCCTGCCTCAGCAATTTCTATGGATTAAATAAATGTTGCATGAAAATTTGTTTCTTTATCTGGTTTAAATTCGTTGCCTTTTTATTTCAATATTCCTTTGTACTTTTGTTATGTGAAAAAGCTAAGCATTTGATTGAGCTTCTCCATACCAGTTCATATTTTATACACTCCTAACATGTTTTACTGTGTCCTCCTTCCTTAACTAGGTCAGGCAAGCCTTATAAAATACCTGTTTGCTTAGTAGCCCCTCTGCCTCTAATAATTCCCATTGCCTTCTGAATCACTTCTATTTCTGCCATATCCTTCTGCTGTAATGCAACTAATTCAAGGTTAGGAGAAAGATATGTTTCTGTTTAGATAACACAAATTAAATATTTACTGTGTTATTGTCTGATATATCCCACTACTTCACTTGCTCTGATTGCTACTGCAAAATCTGTCCGCCCCTACCGAACTGACCCTAGGTGCCTCATAACCCTATGTCATACTTCCAAAAGCCAACATTTTTTAGTGAATTCAATTGAGAGATGAAAACTTAACAACAAAACACTCCAGCTCAGACTGCTTTCTACAGCTCATGTTTTCTCACCCACAGAGAGCCCATGGCTCTGGCTGTGGTCCTTGTGCATCACCATACAAATACTGTCAAACACTTGACCCCAGAAGCACTGGAAACCCAGACACTGCCTAAGTAAGTGCTTCTACACATACATGTTCACAAGAATTAAGTTAAACAAGTATCCAGAAGCCTGAGGGTAGTAATTATTTCTATTCCACAATTTAGAACTACCCATTCCTATGCTCAGTATTTAGCATCAGACCTATTTGCATCACTTCCTGAGGTACTGGTTGTTTCTGTCATGTGGGTGCCCATTTCTCTTAACACAGAGGTTACCTTTTTTACACTAACAAGGCAAAAATGTTACCTGTGATTACAGCTTCTTTGCCATAAATTATTTATTGCTCTCAAAAGCCTGTTTGCTTTGGGGGTAGGGAGAAAGGGTTGTTTACCTTAATGAGGAAGCAGCCTATAACTGTGTTGGTAGTTTTCAACACATGATTTATATAAAAAAAAAACAAAATCCAATACCCTAACAGTATTGAAAAATGCAGAAGTATATACAGTTTTATTTAGGAGTGATTAATTTTGGGTTAGGATACTGCTTTCCCAAGGTGCTTGAATTTTTAATTATTTTTGATCCATATTTCACTTCCCAAAGCGTGGGTAGATAAATGCAGAAATACATATAGTGTGCTATGTTTAACTCCTCTGCTGCCCTCTACTAAACATGTTATGATAATACTATTCACATTCAGCCCTTAAACCACCACTGCCCTTAAACCTCGAGTTTCAGACACAGACTAAAGGGTCAGTAAGGCCTATCTCATATTGACCTCTAGCAGTGAGCCCAGCGCTAAACTCGAGGGTGGAAATGGTGTCAGCAGTAGCAGCTGCCCCCCCCCCCCCGCCTGTCCAGTGGATTCATGGCTGGTCTTTTCTGGTACATGTGGATTTGGAACTCCTTGACACTGTCCAGTTCTCAAAATGCCAGAAGATTTCCTAAGCAATATTATAATACAACTGTAACATATGGGTATGTACCTTACAATTTTAATTTTTTTTTTCTTTTTATTCCTTTTTAACTCCTCTCTTTAGGAGGGCATCTGGGGGATCTGAGAGGGGCTGGGGTTACTCTGATATTATTGCTCATCAATAACACAAAAGCGGTTAATCCATTGCTTTTCAGACACACCATCATACATCTTGGAGAACCCACAACTGGAGAGGGTCATTTGTTCATGATCTGATAACATCATTTACAAACCCAGGAAATTAGATACGGAGCGATCTGCCAAGGGAGATCACACTTAGCTCTGTTGTACTTAATACTCAGAGACCAAAATCCACATATTATTTTTGAGGGAACCTTCCATAGAAATAACAAGCTGAATATAACAAGGAAGAAAAGAGAAAAGGAAGGACAAAGTAATTGACCTCATTCATTCTTACCTCTCATGGCCCCTCTTCACATCTAGTTTTGTAAGGCATTTCAAATGTTTCAGTGAGAAATTCTTCTGAAATATCATAGACTAGATTATATTGGTAGTATGTGATGAAAAATGAAAGGTAGATACCTAAAGAGAAGAAAATGTAATTAGACACAGATGGCTGGCAGTTGTCTGAGGACTGAGGGCATTTATAATTGAGACAGTAGACAGCAAGAGAACATCTAAACCCCTCCATCAGGATAAGATGTGGATAGCTTACTGTACCAAAGAGACACTTTTCTGCTCTCCTACACCCTCACTTTGCTCAGGTTTCAGGGACAGGAAACCAAGGCACTTGGATTAGGAATGAGCAGTGGCACTCCCTGGCTAGACTGGCGATGCACATGGCCAAGAAAGAGAAAGGGATTTCAGAGTGCGCTGGAAATCCACCATTTATGGATTTTCACCCTCCTCCCTTAGATTACTTACAATTTTGTTTTAGCCTAAGGTACTTGGAGGGTACAGTTAGGTATGCCTCTGAGGCTATAAATCTCTTAACAGTAAAAGATGAACAATCCCATTAGAAGCAGCTCAGTGAGCAATGACCAGGATAAAGAGGAACCCAAGAAACAGTAAGCAGGTATATTTAGGGCTACTTTCTTTACAGAAAAAGAACCACACTGGAAAGCAGAATTTCTGGCCTTTTTCAAAAATCCAAAAGAAAGAGTGAAGCTAAACCATTAAAAAAGGAAATGGTAAAATTCTTAATTTTTGATTGTTTAATTAACTTGTATTGCTTTTATGCAGAACTTTTCCAATATCTGTTCTGGAAAAAAAAAGTTGTTGACCAAAAAAGAAAAAAACGAGCAAAAAAAACCCACAGAAGTCTTTTTGTGTTTCTTTACCTGCTGACTGTGGCTGGTTTTCTTTCATAAATATTCAAAATCCTTTAAAGTCCTCTTGTAGATCTAAGAGAGGAATTCTGGGGTTTGTGTGTGAAAAAAATAGATTTGGATACTCCTGAGAACAGAAGAAGCCTACCAGAAGTGCTGTCTATGGCAGCTGTCATCTTCTTTTTTGTTGCTGGAAAAGAAAAAAAAAAAAAAAAAAGACCTTTACCTTCCTTTACCTTTTGTGGAAATAAACATACATTTGCATCTAGAAACAACAGCTATCAAAGTGATGAAACCCAGCTTTCTGGGGCAAATTCACACTGCACTGAATCTCATACTTGTGAGACCCGCTTGGAGTGTTGTGTGCAGTTCTGGTGTCCTCAATGTAAAAAGGATGTGGAACTGTCGGAACAAGTCCAGAGAAGGGCCACGAGGATGATCAGGGGACTGGAGCACCTCCTGTATGAAAATAGGCTGAGAAAGTTGGGACTGTTCAGCCTGGAGAAGGGAAGGCTGCATGGAGACCTCATAGCAGCCTTCCAGTATCTGAAGGGGGCCTATAAGGATGCTGGGGAGGGACTCTTCATCAGGGGCTGTAGGGATAGGACAAGGGGTTAAAACTTAAACAGGGGAAATTTAGGTCAGATATAAGGAAGAAATTCTTTACTGTGAGGGTGGAGAGACACTGGAACACACTGCCCAAGGAAGCTGTGGGTGCCCATCCCTGGCAGTGTTCAAAGGCCAGGCTCAACAAGGCTTTGAGCAACATTCTTGTGGGAGCCAGTTTATGCCAATACTTGCAGTTTTTAATCAGTCCACTGTACAAACACAAACATTTAGGGCCAAACACTCTCAGCATAAGCAAAAAAGTTTAAAAAAAAACAGATGATGGAAAGGACAACCCCAACTCAGTGAGCCTGCAGGTAGCTACAACCAGGCAGGACATTTGTTTGAACAAACAATTGCAGTAATTTAAAAGATAAGATTTCATGTTGGCTGTCAGGAAGGTAATCTCATTTATACAGCAGGCACTCTCCAGATTGTTTTATTCACCATCAAGAAAAGGAAGTTCATACCCTGTCTCTGGGCCAGTTGCCATGTAAGAGGTGCTGGGCAAGATGATCAGAAACTCTAAGGCAAGATACACACATGGATAAAAAAGCAAAAATTAGAGAGAAAGCCAGCTTAGGAATCCAGAAGAAACAAAGTCCACTAAACTTCCTCTGATCCTTGAATATCACAAAAACATACCACCTAAAGAGATAAGATGATAGTCTTTTTCTTAACACAACCTTATGGAGGAGATAGCCTGATTTGCTGAATGACACAATGGAAATGAAGAGTCTTAGGTCCTCTACCTTTACAAACCCAAATCAATCAATGTTATAGCTCAAAGAGAATACAAATAGTAATAGTGCGGTAATCACTTCTGCACAAACACCCCCATAACTATATGGGTAAATCTATATTATTCATTTTAACTAACAGAAATAAAGAGTATCTTACAACCTTGTTGTAAGAAAACACTGTCATACAATCAATTTCCCCCTGCTTTGCAATCAATAACTTTGCTTTGCCTTGGTTTCTCTAAACTGCCAGGAGATCATTGCCTTGTAACAGCATTCTTCCATTCATACCTCAACTCTATAGAAACTGTAGAAACACTCCATTGGCCAGAATTTACCAGTAAATATTGACTTAAGATGAAAAAATGAAGTCCCAATAGCCATCATCATTTAAGCCGTCTAACTTGAGCAGAAGCATACTTCTTGAAAGAGACTTATTTTAATGAAGAACAGTATGACAGGAAAAAAAAAAAAAAAGAATCTCTTGTAGGGTTAAAGCGTGCTTGCTGCTAAATAGCCTCTTTGTATAATTAGGATTTGCAAAGTGGCAAAACACAATCCAATTAAGTGAGTTAGGTTCATGTGATTAACATTAGACAGGCAGCATTGCTCTCATCGTTCATCAGTAGCTTCACTAATTAGGACATTGCTAAGCAGAGACGTCTGACCTTGCCTCAGCCAGTTCAGATTATGGTTTACCCTTCTGAAGCCTGAATGAGCTTCACCGCTTGCTTCTTTCCTCTTTTTCTTTATTGGTGGACAATTTCCTGTGATATTCTGTTCCTTTTGAAAGTTGTCCTACCAGTCATCAACCACCATCAAATAATTAGTGCCTCTCTGCTCACTGACTGAAGAACAAAAAAAAACAAAAAATAAAAGACCTTTCAAGAGGGATATTTTTCTGCTCATACTCTGAACTCGTTACAGCATTAAAATCAGTTCAGGCTAAGTAGAAAAGCAGCCAGGAAGCAATTTTAAGTTTCAAGTAGCAAAAAAATGAAATAATCTTTGCCTGCTAAATAGTAATCACATAAGTCGAAATAGCGTCACAAATGTTGCTCAACAGCAGCTCCCTGGTAGAACAGAGAGGTTACTGAAAGGGAAACAGTATCTGTGGTTCCAAGTCTTGACAGCATCCCTGACCCATCACAAAAGGACAAACTGTAGTTACCGATTCCTTTGCTTTGTCTCCTGCTGCAGGCAGCTTTCCTTCCTGCACTGCTGTGTGCCTACAGCCCTTGTTAGCAAAGGCCAATTATTTCTGCTAAGTAAAAAGAAAAAAACAAAAAAAAAAAAGAAAGAAGAGTTTCTAGATACTCTTACATGTTATAGCTTTGTGGCTAAGTGCCTCTAAAGTGACAAAGTGACAACCAACAGAATAAAAGAGCTTGGAAAGTACACTCAACTTTGTAATAGTCATGAATCAGTCACTGGTAAACATAATATAGAAGCTGTAAGTATCAAGAGCAAATATTATACATTTTAATTTTCGCTAAAGCAATTCAGCAAATCATAAATAAAATTGCTTCCTAACGTAGAGAACTTATAGAGCACAAAGAACTCCTATTTGAATCAGGTTTTCCATTTGACACCAGAATGCTTTTCTATATATTTCCTAGGAATGACTGCTATGCTGCAGAAATAAAAATACTGATTAAAAATCAGCTGCAGGTCTTCCAGGATAAACCCCAGCAGACTAATGCCCATTACAACTGTGTCTATGAAATTAAAAGTAGGGACAGGTTAAATTAAAGTTAGGGACAGGGATGAATTAAGCAAGTTAGTGGAAAAATGAAACCTCTAAATAGAAAAGAACACTAAATATGGGATTAGGAAGGATTAAGTGACAGAGCTGGTGATGACAGGAAATTTTGCTCAATAGCTCTTGAGATCCCTTTTGTCCTGTATTTCCAATCTTTCCAGGAAAGATTCAAGCAAATTTCACTGCTGCACAGATCTCTCAGCAGTCTGTTCAGTTTCTCACCTAACCAAAGTAATTTACAGTTGATGTAAATAATTTTTCAAAGAAAGCACAAGCAGTGTATCATGCTCTCCATTCCTTCCTCTGCTTTTCCCTGCTCTGCTCCCTCTTCTGTGTCTTTTCAGCCATTAGAAACACAAATGCCAAAGATGCTAAATTTCTCATGGACCTTGTAAATTAGTTCCTGGCTTGTTTCCTAGAGCAAGGCATATTTTCAGACACTATGGCAGTGCCTCAAAATATTACTGCAGTAGTAAAGCTTCTCAGAAATCCTATGTGTAGATCTCCACAGGAAAGAGAGGGTTTTGTTTTGTGGGTTTTTTTGTTGGGTTGGGTTTGGGTTTTTTTTTTAATTTTTGTTTTTTAAATAAAATCCATTCCCTCTGCTCTCCAGTGATATCAAAAAAGTAATTCCAGTTCTAGTTAACACCTACAAGCAGAATTCAAGTGCAATGAGTAGTACTGTGTTCACATTTCAGTGATAAAGAAACTGCTTAAGCTAAAATGCTTTGCTAGCACTCAATCAATTTCTCTAATAAATAAGTCAAAAATATCTCTGCTTTTCAGATACTTGACTATACTTTTGAAAGCATTCAATAGTTTAATTTCGGGGGGGGGGGGGATATTTCTTAAACTGTGTGCTCACATACACAAATATATACCCACAAAATAAATCTTGTGATGATATTGAAAGGAAAATTAATTTCAGGCTGCAGAACAGATGAAGAGATAGACATGATAACATGATATACAAAACTACTCGCTATTTAATGTACAGGTTTTTTTTAAACATGCTAATTGATGCATATAGCAGTTCGTGCTTATTGTCCTGAATGCTGGCAGATGATACTGTTTGGGCGAGTGAAATGATCCCAGAAGCTTCACTTTCCACAGAGAACCATGCACAGGGGTTACAGGGTGATTGTTTGATCGTGCATCTTTGCTTGCAAGTTCTTTAAAGGATCACAGCACTTGCTGTATGACAAGCAGATTGTGGCTATTTCTGTTGCCACCAAGGAGCAGAATTAAGGTTGTGTGGATCCATTTGCAGTGTGTTTCAACCTTGGATTTAATTTGATTTATATCATTTAAGCTTCTATCTGTATGATTTATAATGGATTGCATTTGGGATGATTAAAGAAGTTTGGTGGAAACAGCTCCTTTTTTCCCTACTGTCACACTGCCATCTGTGACAATTTCCATGATTGACCGCCTCCTACCTCCATCTTCGCCCTCACACCAGGTCCATAGAGAGCTTTGGTAGATGGAGAGTGATGGGTGGCCTGGTATGTGACATAGCCTGGGAACACTGGTCAGAATTGCCATTTCCAGCAATGGGTGTATGAAACCCAGCATTGATTCACCTGAGACAGGGAGCTTAAAGAACTGAAGGAACAATATGTGAGGACTGGACTTCACAAAGGTAAAAAGAAAAGGTTGGAAAATTGAGATTACCCTGTCAACCAGGTTATAATGCAGACTTTACTCAGTACAGAGCTCTCTTACTCCTCTCCTTGTTCCCCACCATGCCTCTCAAACCAGACCTCCCAAAGGTACTTTCTGCTCAGTATATTCCACATACACAACAGCAG